CGTTAGTACTTGTGCTGATAATGTACGTGTCAATGTACTCTTTACAAGAATGAAGAACAAGTGCTGAAATAAGCTCATGAAAACTTACTTTGGGGCTAAACATTTACTTTTAATTGATGTATCGTTTGCAGCGCCTTCTCCGCCGCCACGTTCTCCCGACCCTCGCTTACGTCCCGGTGCCGTAGGTCGGTTTGCTCAGATTTTTGCAAAGTTTTAGTCATGATATTCTTTGAGAAGTCACTAGTTTTTAGTCGCAGCGATAAGCGATTCAGGACGACTCGTCATGCCTGGTGCACGAGCATTCAGAAGGTAAGTTGTTACAATTGAGGTATTCAAGATCCCTCCTGCTCACCTAGAATTCATTCGTGCAATTTTTTTTCGCGAATCTAGGTCTCCTTTCCAACTTCGTGCAGAGGCTGCTCCACAGCGTGGGCGTTTATCGCCGGTACGCTCGACGTCTTGCGTGAACTCTTCATTGTGAGTGCCTAATTTTCTATCCGTGATGTGCAATAGTTACTGCTGTAAAATCCAGGCCAAAAGACAAAAAGACGAAACGAAGTGTAGTCACTGAGAAGGACAGTAGGCCTGAAGAACCGTCATCCGAGTCTGATGCTAAGACGTAAGTCAGAATAGTGACAGACAGATCTGGAATGACTTGTTACAACGTGCTTTTATTTAGACACCACATTCATCATTATGCTTCGCGTCACAAAGTATCTTACGCAAAAGCGAAGAAAATGGTAATTGTAGTTTATCAAGCTTTTGTTCAGTGCTTTAACTTGTTCTTATTCCTTGTTCTACGAATGCCAAGAGCGCGCTTCTTTAGGTAGCTGTTGAGAGAGGGGGCTATAGTAGTTTTTGCTACAGATGCTAGAGCGTGTCAGGGAGCTGGATTTATCGCGGCGCCAGCTTGTTTTCCACCAATTGTTGTGGAGCTTGCCTGCTTCGATAGTTGATGGAAAACGGGCTGACGCCGCTGCACCGAAACCCCCACCCTCCACGATACGGCACAGAGTTTGCAGCGAAAATCACGTTCTGCGCTTTGACTTGGAGAGTGCGCAGTGGTACGATGCGCGATTCTGGGAATACGCGACAGGTTCACCCATCAATGCTCATTTAATCTTTTATGGCCGATTTTACGGGATCGCGCGTTCTCCCTTCGTCACCAGTCTCCATTTTCCACACCCGTAAAGTATGAACGTGATCTTAAAGACACATGGTACGCTCACACACATTGAGGGTGTATGTGACTATCAGCCCCCAGCTGTCGATGTGTGGTTTCCCCGCCCGAAACTGCACGGGGTTAGAGTACAGGGCCGTGGGAAAGTCTAATTCGTCCATGCTCCGCCTACCGTTTATGCTAACAGCCGTTCCGCGCGGCGCGTGTCGCGCGCAGCTCTCTTGGCTTTTGCCAAATCCTGTAACTGCCCTTTGGAATACAAGTAAAACGCAATTTTCTGATGCGAATAACATTTAAGGTGTTGCTCATGCTTCAAAGTCCGACGAATGTAGATGTAAATAAAAATGAAAAATTCAAGGGAACGCAAATTAATTAAAATCGCGTGTTAATTTTGCGATCCGGCGCGAATTCGGCTCTAAAGCTATAGAAATACTTTAAATAACGGAGGGTGGGGCTAGGCCGTTTTTATTTCATGTTTTGTGGAATGCGCGGCCTCCGAGGGATATTGCAGAAGCAGCACAGTTGCTCTTGAGTTCTAGCCCTCGTCATCATCTTCGGTTCTTATTTTGCAGCACCTAAAATGTTATCCGCATCAGGAAATTGCGTTTTACTTGTGTATTCCAAGAGCGCAATTACAGGACTTGGCAAAGTGCCAAGAGCGCTGCGCGCGACACGCGCCGCGCGGACGGCTGTTAGCATAAACGGCTTGCGCGCGACACGCGCCGCACGGACGGCTGTTAGCATAAACGGGAGTCTGCGCCGCAAGTTGCATTTTGGGTGGAGCGTGGAAGATAGACTTTCCCACGGCCCTGTACTCTAACCCCGTGCAGTTTCGGGCGGGGAAACCACGACACATCGACAGCTGGGGGGCTGATAGTCACATACACCCTCAATGTGTGTGAGCGTACCATGTGTCTATAAGAGCGGTAAAAGTATTTGGATGTGTGTGCGTCTCACATGTAAGCCATTTTCCGCTCGTGCCGTTGTGCTAGCCTATAATTTCAGTCAGATCAAAAACGTACAGACCAACCGTCTCACTCTCTCAGCTCGACGGCTGTGGCACAAGAGCCGTTGAGCTGGGAAGGTACGAGCGGTCCTGGGGACGTGATCGATAACGCACGCGCTCGGAAAGTGTGAGGTGCGGTTTCGAGTCTCGCATGGGCTCAACACTTTTGGTGTCTCAACTCATCGTTACAAGATCGTTTGTTTAATTGGTCGTTGGTCGTTTGTTTAATTTTAACCACAGCCAGCGCTGCACCTACGCGGTGACGCGCGTCGTAGTGCGTTAACGCGTGTCATCGCTGAATCTGAACGAAGCCTGAGGATCTACAGCGCAGCAGGTCGACCAGTAGCGCTACGCGAGCCTCATAATTCTCAATTCATTATCGTTTTCTAGCCCCAAATTGTTATTTTTTTGTATTGCAATTGGTTTTTTGACGAACTTCCAACTGTGGTTCATTATGAACAATTCTAAATATGTTTTTTAGATAGAAGAAGAGGAACGGAAGCTTCAAAAATCTGGTTAGTTCATTTACTGTCTTCATCGCTCTTTTCTTTCTTTCTGTACAATACGGCTTTGCTCAAGAATAGATTCTGCGATAGTCGGATGGGCGGAGAATCGCATCTAGTGTGACTTTGTCATTGGCGCGCTCCCTCGTCTAATATTGCACAAATCAGAGACGCATCAGTGAGGAAGGCACATTAATTGCGTGTTTTTCTCCACCCGTTCATATGTCGCGTAATGTGTTTTTTTTCTGATATTTTAGTAACTCTTTATCAACAATTTTCCTTCCGTTTTTCAGCAAAGAAGAATAGTCGACGTTCACGGAGAGGAGGCAAGCGGAGGAAGGAAGAGCGAATTGTTGAGAAGGCGGAACAGAAGAAAGACGTGTACATGAAAGGTTTCGAACCCCTTCCAAAACAGAAGTATGCGAAGAATGTCGACGATACCGAAGAGTACAATAGTGGATCAGATCCATATGAAGGAGTAGAACCATATCGGCCATATCGGCGGAATTATCTTCCTGAAAGAAGCTTGGAGGAGGGTGAAATTCTCGATGACAGCTTTGATTATGGCGATGCTCCGTCGTTGAGATATCCCGAATTCCTTGCTATAGGTACGATTTATGTTTGTCAATTTTTTTTGTGGTTGAGATGTCCTGATACTCTACACAAAGAAAATGCCGAAAGAACCCGTCCAGAAGGGCTGGAAGAGCTGAAAGTAAACGCACAGAGTCCAACAAATATGATGAGATCCTTTTGAATCATTCAGTTCCTTTCGGCCAGATTTTGGCCCTACTTACCGTTTTTTGTTACCCAACCCCGTCCAGGACATGTCCTGCAAGGGGAACATTTTTCCAAAATACTTTCCCCCTCAAAATTTCCTCCTGTAGTACTTCCCCATCCGCCGTCCTTCCCATCATTTTCCTAAGTTTTCTCAGCCTCCCACCACCTTTCCGGGTTTTTTTTCCAAAATTTTTTCTTATTCTCTCAAAAATTGTCATCCGTTGAAGGGGAGAAGGGAGTAGGAAGGGGGGGTGACGTGATGATAGGTGAGCTTTAGGAGCAGGACAAACCGGAAAAACCAACCAGCCCGAAAACATTTTTTCCCACTCTCCGCCCCCTCTACACGGTGCAGCGATCATATACAGGGGGGGGGGCAAAAAAAGTCACTTCGACCGAGTCACATATCAGCAAAGTTTTCGCTGCCCAGACAGAGGACGTGGATACGAGTACCAGGCGGAAGATACCCAAGATGTTCCTCTATAAGCAGGAGCTGGCTCTCGCCCATCACCTTCATGTACACCAAAATATGAAGTCATCTCCAGTCGCAGCCTGACTGGAGAAGACCTTTGGAATTCATGTCACCTCCAAACAGCTGCGAAACTTCTAGTATGGAGTCACTCATGGATAGCTACCTGGAGACCAGTACTCTCGATCTGGAAGACCTCCATCATCGAGCAGCTCCGTCAACGTCGCTACGGTCTGAGATATATCATTTTCACCAGCAGTCGCGAAGGCGAGGTTTGATGGTAGGACGGATGTACCTTGGAAGTGGATAAGACCAATATTTTCTTCTTTGGACCACGGCCGAAGGGTGAGCGCTAGTCGTTACATCGAGCAACTCGTGAAGAATATCCTCCTCACATGTCGTCGCCCGTACCTTCTTGGAAACTTTGTACTGCTACAGCATTGGGTGCCACCACATGGATTCGAAGGGCACTGGAGAAACTCTCGCCTACCTGGAATGGAAGGGGGCTGAGTACCTAAAGAAGATGGAATATCCAAGTAGGTCACCTGACCTGAATCCCCTCAATTACCCGGTTCGGGCGGAGTTCAATAGGGTGGTCTACGGTGGCGGAGAAATCGACTATCTCGCTGATCTCAGGCACCACATCGCGGTCGCGTGCCAGAATCTCTCGATGGCGCTCATCCAGAAGGCTGTGGCAAGAGTGGCCAGGGTAGTAGAAAATGGGACGGTTGACCTCGTTAATGACTTGTCGCACCTACGATTCGAGGCATAATTAACGAGGTGCGAAGCGACCTCATTAAGCCGAGGCACGTCGCGCTAACTGCGGTTGGCCTCGGTAAGAGGAGAAGTTATTAAGCTATCCAAATTCATGCATGAATTCATCGAAAATTTTCGGTAAAATGGGTCAAAAGGTTGCTATATATTTCAGCTATTTATTAGTTTATTATTATTGTCATCGTTATTATATTATTACAACTATTTAAACAAAAACAAGTGTGCACTATGAGCTATATAACTGCATGCTTCACAGCTGCTTTTTTCCTTTCTCAGATGTATATTCATCGATCGGGTTGAAGTGCCCGAGCCTCACGAAAAGGTCTGTCAGTACTGATCCTGGATTCGAAGGATGCTTCCCTGTACGTAATACGAGGGTGCTGGTGTAGCGGCGGAATAGGATGTTGCTTCCTGATCAGCGTAGTAGGATGTTCCCAGTGCTGGGGGAAAGGGCTCTCGTTGAGGTGTTGTGTTTGACCAAAGGGCTTTCAAAGTGATAAAGAAGTCATTATCGGGTAATACAGAAGAGGCCAGAGGGTTCACCGGAACTCACAGGCTGAAGGCAGGCAATGAGGCTCAGCGAGATCCAAGGATGCACTTCGTAAACAGTATGGGTTTCTACGTGACTTCTTGAAGCTTTTCGTTATGAAATTTGGGATGATTGAGCTTATAATTTTTTATCGATGCTTAGTTGGAAGCTAGGCATTATACCATTCCAATTAGTTTGACAGGTAGCGCTACCTTATCGTATTACTTTTTCGTAAGCCTTCTTCCCTTTGGAAGATCCTCACGTATTTCAATCTGTTGAGAGCTTTCACTCGATTTGAGCCATTCTTGATAGCTCGTGCGTGCCTCGGCTGACCTGCCTCAGCTTAATGAGGTCCCTTCGCACCTCGTTAATTATGCCTCGAATCGTAGGTGCGACAAGTCATTAACGAGGTCAACCGTCCCATTTTCTACTGACCCCTTGTGCCTTAGTAGCTGAGGGCCGCAAAAGTTACCATTTTCTCTGAATGCACAAGACAATTCCTGCCGATCAAGTGTTACGGTATTCAGGTGTTCAATCATGAAACAGTAAACTGCATAAGTGACTCACAATAGAAAGAAGGAACGCAACGAAATTGGAGATTACACTGAGTATAAACCGTCCTATGACCGTCACACAGCAGCGCTAGTGTACGAGTCTGCCGTTTCTCGTTGACCACAAGACCCGATAGTGAAGCTGTGCAACCTTGGCTCACATAATGGTTTATCCGCATCTTCCACATTCTGTGTTCCAATTATCAAAAAAGAAAATGCTTGGAGCTTTAATGAGCATGACCAGAATTTTGTAGCACGAAACTGTTGTAGACCGTAAGCTTTGGGCGACGAGCTTTTACAACAGATTGGTTTGCATACTCCTTTGTTTTCGGATTGCGGAACGGGGACAGAAAAGCGCTGAGCTGAGCGGAACTGCTTAGTAGCTGGTTCGGCTTTCAAGAGAACACAGGAAGAGCAGAGTACACGCTTAACTCACAAATGGCGCGAAAAGCTAAGATAATTAAGCCCATGTTATAAAAGCCCCTACGCGCTACAGGCAACGGAGTGACTACGCGTGATTTACTGTGAAAGTCGTTGCCTTGTAGACGGAAAACAACAAAGTCCACAATCACGCGTCTGCGGCCGCTTTATCTCACCGGTTATAGTGAGCGAAAGTGTTACAATCGTGGGGACTGTCCTAATAGCTAAGGTCAAACTTAAGAATCTCCGATGGGTAATCTCTTAGAATTAAACACGTTGTATGGTCACTCTAACGCCAAAGACCGCACTCCTCGACAGCGTCTAAATTTCTACAACTGTTATGATAGCCAAGCACAAGTGAGTTCTTAAAGTCATTCTGAAAACGAAACTTCCAAAAGTTGTTGTCTTGGCACGCTCAAAGAACGTGCGGTTACGGTAGGTCCATAAGTCTTCATCGCAACCCAGTTTGTTGCGGCCGGCGTTTCCGATGTGTCGAGTCTTTTTTTGGTCGACTATTAACGAGCGAAGGACGGGAGAGCATCCGCTGTGTCTGTCTTTATTAATATAATTTATAATATTTATATTTTTATTTATCACTGGGTGCTTTATTTAGATGGAAACTGCGGAAGATAAACGTTTGAAGGCGATCATTGGAAAGGTACTCTTTTATCTATTTGGGCGCTGATCGGCGTGGAGAAGGAGATTGCACTTTTGCTGGTCCACTAATTTCGGTTTACAAGTCTCACTCTGGTGAAACCTGTGAACTCTTGTGAAGCTGGAGCAAGCTCGTCGAGCACCATGGTAAAACCTGTCAACTCTTGTAAGCTCATGAAATAGCTCTTTAGACGGCTCGACACGTCGACGGGAAGTGGCAAAAGTGCAAAATGCCTCTCCCCGTCACCGAACTGCGCCTTCATTTGTTTGTTTACTTATTCTTGCATGTTTCGCAATCAGTAAGTAGCGACGATAAGTTGAAGTGATGTGAAACAGTGAGGAGATGAACCACGTTTGTTCTTTAAACAATTCGCCATATCAATGGTAGTGCAAAAAAAGAGTGCTTAGTTTCAGTTACTACGGGATTTCCTTTAAGGGCACGCACCGCGTTCCATAAACTCCGAAGGTTAGAGTGAGATGGCTTGTTAAGAGAGCTATTATTTCTACGGTGTGAACAAGTGAGAACTCGTCCTGACCACGCCCCTAGTTCGCGTTATGCACAAGCGTACAAGCAAGGCTCACTATGGCGTACTATATGGAGCATTTCCAGCTAGTTCTATCCTCAGTTTTCCTTCGATACCTAACCACTTTACCACTATGCAGTAAGTGATTAAGTGCAGCCGCGCAATCTCATTTTTCAACCCGGGGCGTGCCTTTACACCAGTTTCGGAAATTCCTGAGCAGATGTGTGGTTAGGCCAAGTAATGCTGCCTAAACTGGATAGGTCCTCTTGATACTACGAAAATCAATCCGTTATCCCTCTTTAACAGGAATTTTTTAGGAAATCGACTTGAGGTGTGGGTTTCTTTGATACTGCTTACAAAGTGCGATGTCATGAAACCTGTGGGGTTTTCCGAAAGGGTCGCAATATGTACCGATCCAGTATCCAGTATCGAGTAATTCAAAGAGTTCGAGTTTAAGTAATACTGCAGCATCTCCGAGCTTCCTCATCGGTACGAACTGATGGCGGGTTCCTCTCATGGACTCCATGGATTTCGACTTCGACTCCCTTATGTGTACTTCTTTTCACGGCTTCGCGGAACATATGGCGGGACAGGGGGGCAGGGGGAATCGGGTGCGTGTACTTAGATACCCGGTGGGCGTGGCCAAAATAGGGCGAGGGCTTGACGTGGACGGATATAATTAGGCTTCAGCGCTTCTTCCTGAGCTTGGAGACGATAATTTCCTTCTTATTAAACAGCTGTGTGTTTCTACTGCTTGAACTAAGAAGTTCCGAGAGGAAGAATTAACTTAGATTGGAATTTATGCTTTTTGCAAAGGTATACATTAGGCAGAGGCGAAAAAGTGGTTATCAGGTCTTACGTATGATCATGAAATCAACATTAAGCACACCTTGAAGACAATAGGAACGTTTACCTTGTAAACGGTGCTCCCGTCTAATATCTATTGCAGCACAAATTTGGGAAACACCGGTCCATTTCGAAGCCTTGCCCCTGTGGCCACGCCCACCCGGGTATCTAAGTCACGTTGCCGGGGAAATCGTACCACAATGATGCC